TGGTTACGCCAAAAATTGAGTTTGAAAAAGGGGCCACTTTGGCATATTTTCAATGATATCTCGGCCATAAGTGAGATACAAAGTTGAAGTTTGGTATAACGGATGTTTTCAAAATGACCTTTAAAATGGCGTATAAATTATTCAAATACAAGGGTATTAGTCAATTATGTATGGCAATGCGCCCACACCCTTGCGCGTCGTGACTATTATGTACTCTTCTGGCAGACCCTTGCAACCGTCAGAATGGGCTGGCTTTTTACATATGCTTTCTGAACAGTTAAAAGAAGACACCCTCAAAATTTGAGCCTTGTGCGAGCAAGTTATAAAAAAATTTTTTTTTACATTTTCACAAATTGAAGGGATGATGACGCAACCGCGGAATGACTGCCAGAATTGTATTTTCTTAATGGGCCGATAATAAAATATCATTAAAAAAATTTCTGGTTTTGTGAAAACAGGTTAGTCAAATAGTTCACTGGCTCTTCTACTATTGGATATGGTTGAACTTCAAAGTGAAACTAGTAATTTGAGTTAGCTTTTTGCAAAATTTTGCTAGAAGAGTTGAAAATCTAAAAATGCAGTTAAGTAAAGAATTTAATATTATTTTCAAAAATATACAATATTATATTTATGTCAGAACAAATTTTTTGGTAATTATTGCAGATTCAAAAAAGTGTGACCAAAAAATTATCAGTGTTACAGCAATGCTATATTACTCTGCGTTTTTCATATAAAATAGTACTAAAAACTCTCAAAATACTGGCGTTTTAGATATAAAATCTAACCTAAAAAACATCAAATGTCATGAGTGTATCTTTCTGTTATAGATATTTAAAAAATCTTTAAATTTACCGGTTTTTGTCTGCCTCCTTGCAGTACTCATCGTTGTTCAAATCAAATTCCCAAACTTATATTATTTTTGAATATATGAAACTCGCAATTAATTTATAAATTTCACAAAACGTTTTCATTAGAATGAAATAAAAGAATATTTGAAATATTTGGCACTTGTAACTTGTTTACTGAGATTTGATAAAATTTGTTTTTTTAGAAATTTCAAAAAACAGTGAAAACACGTTTTAATAATTTTGTCGTTTAATCCTACAACTTAACTTCAAACATTTTTCTTATTAAATTTTGTTCGCAAAGTTTTTAGATGTCATAAGCAGATTTGTAGATAATTTTATTAGCTTTCTAATGATATATAATAATATACATGTTATGTAACAAATTGTTACTAATATTATCATAACTATAAATAAATGTAACCGATAAAATCTAACAATGACTAATAATTAGATACCAAAATTTTAACTTTAAACATTTTGTCGTTTATACATTCTCTTATTAATACTTTAAATAATTATTAGTGTAGTTATAATTACACTATTTGAAATAATTTCTAATTTAGGTATAGTATGATAAAATATCAGTTCTAAAAAAAAAACAGATTAAGTACATTTGTTCTAGTACAGCCCTCATGATGTTATATAAATTGCTTTTTTTTTTTTTTAAACAAATGTTAGATATGAATGTTTGATATGAACAATAAACAAAAAAAATGTTAGATATTTATCATATTACATTCTGAAGATATTTTTTAGTTTTATGAGCAAACGAATTGAAGTTTACTTCAGTTGTCAATATAATTAAAATATTTTACACTATCACTATCAGGTAGTTTTATTATATTTTTGAAAAACGTGACATATGACATTTAATCGATCCGGGAGTATTCCACGATTGTCGGCTACGCTCGTTCACTAAATGACGTCATGTTGCCTCTATCTCTCTTTTGACACTTTATGTAATGGAAAACATTCGTCCATGTATTGTAAGGTCTATGACTAGTGTATATAATATTATATAATAATAATAATGTATGATATCAATTTATTACATAATGATAATTTTATATTAATAAAACCACTCCAGTGTATTTTATAATTTTTAATTATTTTGTAAATTTTAACAATTATTTCTTCAAGACGACAAGATTATATTACAATAACAAGTTATAGACTAATTGTTTAACTAATTCTATAACTAATCTACTTTAAAAACACAAATACTAATTAAAAAAATTAATTACAAATATGAAATTTATTTGTAAGCTCCATTTAGGGTGTTTGGTCTTCTCTTAAAAATATCTGTAAAAAGATTTAAAAATATATTAAAACATTTTTGATAAAAATTAGCTATAAGAAATTTCATCGGAAAATTGTAAAAATGTTATAAATGAATTATGGTTTAAATGTATAAAATAAAGTTGATTTTTTTACACATAGATGAATGTATTAGCATCATAGAAAGTGTTCAAAATTTGTAAAAATTCTTTGTATCTCCCAGTCGAAGCAATTTATTTTACTAATGTGCCGATTCTGCCGCACAACAGACCAATGTTATGGCAAGGCCATGTTACTCTCTAACTTGCATACCTTATGCTATTGATTCATACTGAATACTGTCAAAATGTCACGTATTTGCTGTGCATTCAGGCGTTTTGCACATAAACTGCAACGTCACTCGTATGTTATGAAGCTGGGTCAGAAAGAACCTGCTATCTAACATACTCTTTTTGACATTTGTGCGGTTTCTGGGTTAGGTTTTCTATCTGACAACCTGAGAAATACGCCTGTATGCACAGCAAGCGCATGGCTTTTGTCAATATTTAGTATGGAAAGTTTTGCGTAACATGGACTTGCCATAACATTTTTCTGTTATGCGGTAGAATTGGTGTATAAATCTTGGCTTCTGGTCCATTGTATGAAGTTTCTCAGTCAGTTTATCTTATTCATATTGAAAGTTTAATTGTGTTTGCCTACTTCCAATTTGGGTCTCTAAATTTTTTTACCTCTAAGTCCTGGCATGGGCATCTGCAGGATGCCACTCTTCGTCGTCCTTCATGAGGGTCCTTCGAAATTCTTCGTATGTTAACTTCTTGTCGCCGTCGCGGTCGACGGACGCCAACATTAATTCAATGTCCGAATCTGTATAGGTCATCCCTTGAAAAAAAAAATTAGTTATATATATATATATATATATATATATATTGATGAGTTATTTAGAATCGGTCAGTAACACCAAGTAAAAAAAACTAAAGTAGTTTTGAAATACTTTATTTATCCATACGTTTCGGTCTTCATCGAGACCGTCATTCAGTGGAAAAAGTAAAAGATTTTTTATGATGTAGGAGGAAAATGATATAAAGTTATATAACTTATATATATAAATACTTACAGAAATTAATTATACAAAAATACACTACACTATTACAGTGTGATAAACCAAGCTATTAATAACTGGAACAATTAAACTAATTATTTTTTGACAATTTTTTGGTTACATTATAGTGTGTACAAATTGGCTAACGTCTAAATACTGAATGAATTGTTTACAAATTTTGCTAAAGTGTAAAAAGACCGGCAAACATATGTTTTTTGTAAAATAATAAAATAATAAAAATACACGCTTCATTCAGATATAGTGGTGTTTTTAAAATGGTCAAAGATTATTTTATAGTCATTGCAAAACGAATTGTTATCTAGTCTTTTATTTATGGCCGTCTCATTGTGTAAAGATATTAGGCATCCTTAGCTAAATTTTCTTTTAAATAAGTTATTTTCAATATATATATATATATATATATATATATATATATATATATATATATATTAAAATATAATAATTCACAAAATAAACTAATTAAGATTCAGCTGTTGGAACAAAACTCTCATTGATTTCATTTCATTTTCATTCATTCATTTCATTTCATCCATCTCTCATTGAGAATTTTCCAATTCTTATTGAAAATATTAGAAACACTTATAAGGAAAAAATAATTTTAAAATGTGGAAAGAATTGCAAGTTAATCAAATATTTCACATTTTTATCTATCCAGGTTGCACGGTTCAAGGTGCGCCTTTACATCCACAAATAGACGTAGCACCTTGATCAAATGAGTAAATGCATTCGCATGCAACAGTTACATCTATATTTTAAAGTGCGAAGGACGTGATTTGGTCATTCATAAATAGACTGACGGATGAACATTTTTACATACTTATAATTAGCAGAACGAACAAAAAGTTATTAATATAATGAGGTGAATCTTAAATTTTTCATTAAATTGATTTGTTTATTTTTCAAGCAATTAATCAAAAAAAAAAAAAATAACAATACTTTTTGGTAGATTTTTGTTCACGACATTTTGGGACTAGATGCGTTCCATCATCAGTTTTTTCTGTTTTTTTTTTTATTTTATTTATATATATATATATACATTATTTTCATATCTCAGACAGACAGAGGTGCCTGGTATGAGAGATTATGAAAACAGTTTTCATATTTTATATATTCATTTCATTTGACTATTTCATTAATATAATATCTATTATAATTAAAATATCTTCATGTTTTTTCTGTCAAAAACAAGTTTTTAAAAAAACTGTATTGAAGGACAATTTTATGTTTATTTATAGTTATTTATATTTAGAGTTAAAATTATAATACTTCTTATATATAACATGTAGAGATATAAAATGCATTTCAAAAAATTCATAAGTTTTCTAAAAAAGAAGTTGTATGTATATATCCGAGTTTCTTTGCTTCCAGGGGCTCGAACGCTTCCAAATTAATGAAAAAAATAATCTCTGAAAGTTTTAAGTCTTAATATTAATTAAGTTAGTCCGCGTAAAGTTTCTTGGTTTTTCTTCCTAAGTAATTCTTTATGGTATTTTTGTTGTAATTTCTTTATTTGATTAAAATAAGCATATACAAAGTTATTCTCAAAATTTTGATTCACTTGTAGCTAAGTTATAAAATTCTGAAAAAACAAATAAAATTTTATCTATGTTATTTCCATAAGAAACTTTGATTGAATTGCGGATTATATTAGAGTTAATATTAAGACTTAAAACTTTCAGAGATTCTTTTTTTATCAATTTGGAAGCATTTGAGCTCCTGGAAACAAAAAAAAACGAAAATATCCATTTTAAATATTATTCCTTACCTAAATTCGTTTGTATTCTATTCAATTCCTCGAAGTCGACATATCCAGTCCGATCCTGGTCAAAAATTCTAAAAACCAACTAGAAATACAAAATTAAATTTTAATTTAAATAAAAATGCAAAAGTATTATTTCTTCACACCTGGATTTCGTCCTCGCTGTAAAATCTTCTATTAAAATCATAAATCTTTTCCTTGAAAAGTTCGTATGTGATGAATGTAGATTTTTCGGGGTCCATGGCCCCTATCATATCGTACAATTCGGCCTCTGTAGGGGTGTAACCTGTAGAACAAATTAACAAAAAATAATATTGTGCATTTATTTTGATTTCTATCTGAACTAACCTAAAATTTGTAGAACATTTGACAGTTGTGACACGTCCAGCAAATCTTCAGCGTTTTTATACTGATCATAGGCATAACGTAGTTCCTCTAAAACGTCTGGGGGTAGTTTTTCTTTTTTCGCAACTGATACCTTAAAATAAATTATAATCGGTTCAGCATTTTTAGCAAAAACGTGCTCGAAAAATATTGTATTTATATACTAAATATAAAGAAACGGCTGGGCCGATCGTCGCACAAAACGATCCAACTAATAATACTATTATTATTATTATTATGTGGGAATTAAGTGAGTCATGAATTCGGGAGAAACAAATGATCATGACATTTTGTAAAGTTTTATAATCATAAATTTCAATATATTAAACATGGAAATATCTTTTTATTTAAATAATTATTTCCATAATTAAGTTATTGTGATGGTTCAAAAATCGAAATTGAATTTTTTTTTATATTCACGTTTTGAAAGTTTCTGAATATTTTGGCATACCTTAGGAAGCGTCCATTAATCACGTGATCGATTTTTTAATAATACTTGTGTTGACGAAACGATGCTTTTCGGAAAATATTTGTTTTAATTTTTTTTTAATTTCCAAAAATTCGAATATTTCACTGTGGTACGGGAAGTTCCAGCAATTTGCCTTAAGGCACGATGCCATACACCACTAGTTATAATTATTATTATTACTTACATCTGGTTCATCGAATCCTTTGGGCATCTTTGCAAAATTTTGCGCAAATACAACCAATATGTATATCAATTTATAAAGCATAAATAGCAACTTAATTAACCTGAGCCTAATTTATTTCATACACATATTTTTTGGAATTTTTACATTTTTTACTCTAAATTTAAATTTTGTTCCATAATTAATAATTTTTCAAGAATTTGTTTCATTTAGAAAACAAATAAATGCACATGGTTAACTAGATTTGGGGGTAATGTAATCGTGAAAACTTTCATTTAAATTTGATTTTAATTTTTTTTTTGGTTTTTGTCAAATAACTCACAAAGTTTATATGAAAGCACCCTTTTTAAATTAGATAGGGTGAAACTAGATAAAATTTACAACATTTTCATAAAAACAGTTATATACACTTCGATATAAAAGTTTTGAATAAAACGACTTTGGATTTGATTTTTCATTATTTAGCACAATAATTAGAAAATTCAGGAAGTTTTAATTTACTCAAGTTTAAATTTAATTTTCTGATAAAACGTCGTCTTTATTAGCTTATGTATTCACACAAAAATTAATTTTCAAATACAATTATTATTATTTTTAAGATTTTGTTAAGCGATCATGACTTGTTCGAATTCTTCATAAGACAAAAAGTGGTCGCCGTCTAAGTCCGCAGAACTCATCATATCTTCTAATTCATTAGCAGTGTACAAACTTCCTGAAAAAATTAAAAAAATGATAAATAGGTAATAATAGTATAAATTTATGAGCCTATTCTCGGATAACATAGCTTTATTATATGGTAACATAAGGTGTCACAAATAAAAGTACGTTGGAATTTTGCTTTTCTCGAAGCACATATGTTATTCTGATAAATCTTGTTTTCTTGATGTTAAGAGACTCAAAAATCTACACCTATGATGTTTATATTGTTTATTTAATTTTTCGATACTGTCAACGACTGTAAAAGTATCCTCCAAATGACACAAATGTTAAAATAACATTAATTAGATTTTATTCTTATTTTATTTATAAGTGCAATTCATGAGCACCTATAATTTTGAAGTTAGCTTCTTAATGTTGCCTTATAACATAAAACATATGACCAAGAAGAACTATGATATTTTTTAGTAATTTTATATAATAATTTTAGTAAAGTGTGTCTAATTCTATCTAGTTTCATCCTATCTAACTAGAAAAGGGTGCTTTCATATAAACTTTGGGAGTTATTTGACAAAAACCAAAAAATAAACCAAATTTTCTAATTATTGTACTAAATAATGAAATATCAAATTCAGAATTCAGAGTCGTTTTATTCAAAACTTTTATATCGGAATGTATATAACTGTTTTAATGGAAATGTTGTAAATTTTATCTAGTTTCACCCTATCTAACTTAAAAAGGGTGCATTCATATAAACTTTGTGGGTTATTTGACAAAAACCAAAAAAATGTACCGAATTTTCTAATTATTGTGCTAAATAATCTAAAATCAAATTCAAAGTCGCTTTATTCAATTTTTTCATATAGGAGTGTATATAACTGTTATTATGGAAATGTAGTAAATTTTACCCAGTTTTACCCTATCTAACTAAAAAGGGTGCTTTCATATAAACTTTGTGAGTTATTTGACAAAAACCAAAAAAATATCCCAAATCCACTATTTATTGTGCTAAATAATGAAATATCAAATTCAAAGTCGTTTTATTCAAAACTTTCATATCGGAGTGTATATAACTGTTTTAATGGAAATGTAGTAAATTTTATCTAGTTTCAGCCTATCTAATTTAAAAAGGGTGCTTTCATATAAACTTTGTGAGTTATTTGACAAAAACCAAAAAAAGTGTACCGAATTTTCTAATGAAATATCAAATTCTTAACCTTATTTCTTTTACCGAATAATCGATTCATCCTGGCAAGGTCATCGCCTGATACAGATCCTCGTCCTGACAGGTCCAACAGGTTAAATGCCTCCTTAATTTCGTCGTCGGTGAATTCAAAATGCATGTTTTTGAAATAGTATTCTTTGAAGGCATCGAGTGAGATTTGATCTAAAACAAATAATACAATTTAGTCCATTGTAATAAACTGTAGATGAAAAAACAGCACAGGATTTTGCAAAATTAATAGGAATTTACAAATTGATGTGTACAGCATTTGATTTTATTATTTGCCTGTTTTTTCGGGATCAGTGGCCTTCGTCATATCTGTAAGATCTGCCTCAGTGCAATTGTGACCCAAATATAACATCAGTTGACGAGCAGTGCTTCTGTCCAAAAAACCTAATTGTAATAAAAAAAATGACAATAAAAATACAAAACATTCTTCTGACCATCTTATAAGATTTGAATTTTGTTTTGTTTGGATGATCTTCGAATTGGCTTTTGCATTTTCAGAAATTAATGAAAAAAAATTGATTCGACTATAATAAATGGGTCAAATACCAATTTGTGGCTGTATCAGTTAGTATATATACATATATATATATATATATATATAATATTTTATATATATTATTTTATTTATTTATATGTATATATTATATATATATATATATATATATATTACTTTTACTTACCACTTTTATCCTTATCAAACAATTCGAATGCTAATTTCACATCCTTAAATTTTTCAGCATTTAGTTCCACTTGCAATCCTATATTCATTATTATTATTTATATCTATTTAGTTATTAATATTTAATATTATTAATATTACACAAATTTATAAAAATAGTATTTTTGCAAAATTCGAATATCAAAATTATTTTGTTTTTAATTTGTCAAAACATTTATATATTTTATAACAAATTTACAAAAACATTCTATTTTTTTGGACTATTTTCAATATAAAGTTATTTTTAAATAGTTAAATCAGAAAGTAGAAAGTATGATAAAACATGAAAGATAAACACATATTAAAATACCATTTTTTTTTCAATTTTTTTAGTTTCAACTGCTAAATAATATAACATCTAATAACATAAGTGAGTAGTAAGATAAATATAAATGAAATAGAGTACAAAATAAAGGATAGTATTTTCATTAAAATAATATCCGTATTGTGATGATTTAATATAAAATAAAAGCAAATAATGATAATAATAAAATGAATAAAATTTATGAATAATAAATATAATACTAGAAAAACAATAAAGTAGAATATAAACAATAATGAGGTAGTTTTATAGTAAAAGAGCTGATAAAATAGCGTCGTCATTCTTGGTATTGATAATTATGAAAATGTCTATCTATTCACATTCAAATGTCTATCAATCAGGCATATTTTACATATAAACAAAGTAGGGAAGAATCTTATGATAACTGCATTATCTAGAATTTTGTGACAAGTGAATAAAACGCATAAAAATGTAAAATTCGAATTCTAGAACATCTAGTATAAAAATAAAGTTAAAGTGCGAACGGTTTAATTTAAATTTTATTAACTTCCCGTAGGGTAAGTTATTGTAATGGGCCGAAAATCGAAATTGAATATTTTTATATTTCTCGTCGTTTTGAAGGTTTCTGAACATTTTGGCATACCTCAGAAAAAATGGATGTGTGTGTGTGTGTGTGTATTAATCGTCAGTCACGTTTTCGGCCGCACGAATCAACCGATTTGAATGGTTTAAAAAACATTCGATCCCTATTGATAGGGAGAAGTGTTTATTATTTTTGGCAAAGGCAGGCCCAGCCATTTTGGAGATACGGAGCTAAATGTGCAAAAAATGGCAGTTTTTGAGTGAACTAAACGTCCGATTTAAATGATTCAAAGAACTTTCTGCTTGTCTTAACAAAATAATTGATTTTGGAAAAAAAATTGTTTCAATTTAATGAAGTCGCACGGCATCGAACTGCTAAAAAGAAAACGCCCCTTCGACGGATCCGGTACCTTGACCTCCACATAATATGTAATATATTCATTCTAATTAGCAGTACTACTTATTTAGTTGTTTATTTATATTTTTATTGTGTTTAGTTTGTTAGTTATGTCTTTTTTATTTGTTGCTATAATTCACAATTTATACTCATTTACCTCATAGATCTTTTTATTTTTAAGTTTACTCTATATAATCACAAAATTAAAATTTAATTTATCAAAATTGAAAGGCTTACTACTGGGTAACCTTTTAGATCTAATGTTTAATATTTCATATATTATTATAGGATGTCAAATATCTCCCTTCCGCCTTTTTGTATTATAAACCAAGAGCAAAAAAGCGGAAGGGAGATATTTGACAACCTAATATCATCAAAATTACTGAATGTCTTCCTTTTTGTAAAAACAGATTGTAATTCAAGCGAATAAAAAAATGAATAAATAAAAAAAAAAAACAAAATATGATTTCAACTTTGCAATTCAGTTTATATAATTCTTATAAATATTAAACAATGTTACAATATTCATGATAATCTATTTGAAAACAGTTATAATATTTCTCGAATATTTTGTTACTGTACGGGAAGTTCCAGCAATTTGCCTTAAGGCACGATGCCGTTTACCCAACTAGTTACTTTGACATTACCCCAACCTCAATTACTTTGACATTACCTCAATTTTGATTTCGCAAATAATAGAGACTCCACCAACTGCAACATGTCAATGAATCGCTAAATAAAATTTATATAAATATATAATATAGAAAACATAAACCTGACTATTCTGAAAATTTTAAAATAATCCTATTTATTTATTATTATTTTTTTCCCCCAGGAGCCTTCCAACAAGCAACCCTCATCGGCAGGTTCCGAGACAGACGGTTCGTCTTCGTCGCGCCCCCGAGCAGGCACATGGGGCTCCAAAGAGGCCCGAGCAGCCAGATCGGGCGCCTCCGGAGGCAAACCTCAGATGCCTTTGTCGCCTTTGGCAACTGCTGCAGCAGCCAAAAAAGCTGGACAGGGCAGCCAGGAAACTTCAAGATAAGGAAATCAAGAATCGAGAGAAGGAAGCCAAAAAGTATGAGAAGGAACTTAGGAAGAACGAGAAGCGGGAGCTGGAACGACTCAAGATAGAAAAGTAAGATGAATAACCTTATTTATAAATAAAAAATAATATAACCTAGAAAATGTTTTATAAATACCAATGAGTATATAATTATACAAATAAGATCTTTCAAAGCACCGTGTTTGATAATAATATGCCAAAAAGTGCATTTTCGTATTAACATTTTAAAAAAGTTAATATTTTGAGTCTTTAGTAAAACTTGCGGCCCGTTTACTAACGTTTTTGTATATAAATAAAACTACAAACAAAACTACTTACTACAATTTAATCATAATTAAATAATATTTACGTAAAACATCCTATTAAAAGTAATTGAACATCATCTGTCAAAAACGTTTGACATTTGACGTATTAGCCACCGTCCATTGTTTTATTTACATTACGCTTCAACAAAAATTTTCAAATTAAAAATGTAAAGTTTCTACGCGATTTTGAAATAATATCTCACCTTTTGGACAATCTCTGGATTGGCACGAATTTTTCAAGACTAAGACTGGATAAATTGGTTTAGCCGTTTTCGAGTTTTACCAAATTATTTGACCGAGAGCTCCATTTTTATATATAAGACTAGCTAACCCGGCAAACGTTGTTTTGCTAAAGGTATATTGTAAACAATTTCTAGAGAATCAAAAATATTAATACTTTAAGTGTATAAGGATGTGTTGTTTCAATGCTATAAATAATGAGCTATATAAAAACAATAAACCCCATTAGTGTGTCTATATTTTGTCAATACAAACAAACTGGAAGTTTTATACACCATCTATCGAAAACATGGTTTAATCCAATCCAAGTCTTTTTGGTCTTTCGACTTATTGATTACGTTTCAAGTTTTTCAGATTCCTTTTGGATTCTGTGTAAAATTTGTGTAAAATTGTAAATAGTACTACTGAGCTTATAAACATTTTTCAAATTTCTGCGAGGAGAGATAGGAAATTAATTAAGTATTTCTTTTTTGACCTGCTTTTTGAAAAGTTTCGAGTAACATTCGATGAATTAAAGTAAATTTAATAAAAAGTATATATGTAGAGCAGGGCGGGGCACAAAGGTCCAATTTGACTTTGAGCAATTCTAAATTATATTATGAAAACCAAACCAATTATATAACAACAAATAACACATATCAAACGAACAATTATCTGACTACGTTCAGTAAACTGTCTTCTACTTCATCATTGTAGAAATGTGCTTTTTTGATGTCTTTCAAAAATTTGTTATCTACACCTTTTTACCCTTTAGGCGGGTTAACTTGAAACGAGCAGGTGGCAAACAGGATTTATGTCTTATTTTAATTTTAAATGTATTTTACAAAATAATTACATTTTTAACTAATGCTAAAAACCTATCAACGGAAGAAAATACTTTTATTATGGATTTTCAAAAATTACCGTTTATCTCCTGATAGCATAGTCATGAGAATCAAGGTCATATCTGATTATACATCATTTTTCCTCTACTTTCAAATATTGTTATTAAGCAATGCCTAACTTCACTGATTTTTGACACATCGATGGTGGATCTTTTTAACTCCGGACCTTCGTATATTGCTATCTATTATTCGATAAATTCTGGGAAATTATAACTGGGAAAATGTTATTCGACAAAATGTGCATTTGATCGATACCAAATTTAGGTTCTAAATTTAAATAACATAAATAAAAAATAATATAACCTAGGAAATGTTTTATAAATACCAATGGGTATATAATTATACAAATAAGATCTTTCAGAACACCGTGTTTGAGAAAAATATGATTTGCAAAAAAAGAGTGCTACAACGCCAAAAAATGCATTTTCATATTAACATTTCAAAAAAGTTGATATTGTTGAGTTTGTAGTGACACGTGCGGCCCTATTACATGATTTTACTGAATTACAAATTTATAGCTGTTTTAAGAAACATGTGTGATTTTATATTTTTATAATTTAGTACACATATTAAGAAATAACATACTAAAATTTTGTAACTCTAGTATAACGTTTTATATTTTTAAATATTTTTCTAAATACTCATTAAACCGTGGACTTGCAACTATTGTAGGAGTGCATTTGTTTACAAAATTGCACACTTATAGCTTTTTTTCGTTAGAAACATACATGATTTTATATTTTTATAATTGAGTACATATATTAAGTAATAACATACTAAAATTTCATAGCTCTAGTATAATATTGTATATTTTTAAAACATTTTTCAAAAGTACTTCTCATATCATATCCAACTGTCGATTCGCAACTTATAAAAATAGAGTATGCAAGTGTGCAATGCCATTTTTTAGTTTATTCTGTTAGAAACATATTTGATTTTATATTTTTATAATTCAGTACACACATTAAAAAATAAAATACTATAATGTCATAATTGTGTTACAACGCTTTATATTTTTAAAATATATTTTAAGCTGTCAATTTATTTACGCCACAACGTTTAATAACATTTTTGTACGAACAAAACTACTTACTACAATTTAATCATAATTAAATAATATTTACGTAAAACATCCTATTAAACGTAACTGAACATCATCTGTCAAAACCATTTAAAATTTGACGTATGAGCCGCCATCGATTGTTTTATTCAAATTACGCTTCTACAAAAATTTTCAAATCAAAAAAAGTCTAAACGCGATTTTGAAATAATATCTCACAATTCGGACAACCTACTGATTGGCAAGAATTTTTCAAGACCAAGACTGGCCAAATCGGTTTAGCCGTTTTCGAGTTTTACCGAATCATTCGATCGAGAGCTACATTTTTATATATAAGATATAAGTGGATTTCAAATTTTGACATTGTCTTTTTTACCCAGGTTACGTGCAGAACGAGTAAGTAAATCGACGGAACGTCTAGGGGGTTCTGGTTCCTTGTCCAGTTCAGAAAGAGTCAGTGGCAGCGGCACCGGAACAGCAGGTTCTCGTTCTGGTTCCAGCACCAGATCCGGTTCTCTGGAACGTAGGCAAAGTGGTGAAGGAGGCAGACACGATGAGAGGGAACGTGAAGTCTTGTATCAGCTCACAGTCCACGGTAAGAAAAAATTCAATTGAACTTTTTTTTTTTAAGTTCAATAATTATTACAACTGCTAAATTATTAATATCAAGTAATATTGATAAATAATAACATAAATTCAATTGAATGGACCTAATCTCGGTGTTCTTGGAGCATATATTGGTGCACATGGTTTCTTTATGCTGATGGACTCTCAACTCGAATATATCATTTTTTTTTGTTCAGGAACTGCAAGTCCCAATAGACGTCCAGCAATTTTCGACGCCTTTCGACCAAGATCCAAATCGGACGCCAGGAAACAAAAAGAACTCACCAACAGTGGCCAAAGTGGCAACAATAGTGGTTCTTCGACACCAGCTCAATCTGGCAAATCAGGATCTGGCAGCAATTCATCAGGACCGGGGTAAGATGATAAATAAAACTCTTACCTATTTTTAACTTCCCGTAGGGTAGTTATAATAATGGGCCGAGAATCGAAAATGAAAATTTATGCATTTATCGATGTTTTGAAGGTCTCTGAACATTTTTAAGAAGCATACTTCAGAAACTAAGTGCATGTGTGTGTGTGTGTGTTGATAGGGAGCTGATTATTTTTTGGCAAAGGCAGGCCCAGCCGTTACGGAGATATGGAGCAAAGAGTGCAGAAAATAGAAATCGAGTTTTTGAGAGAACGGATCATCCGATTTGTATGATCCAAAAAACATTCAGTTCGTAATGACGAGGAAAGTGGTTATTAGTTTTTGGCAAATGTAGGCCCAGCGGTTTCGGAGATACAGAGCTAAATGTTAAAAAAATTGCAGTTTTTGAGAGAACTGAACGTCCGATTTAATTGATTTAAAAAACTTTCTGCTTGTCTTAACAAAATAATTGCTTTAGGAAAAAAAGTAATTTGTTTCAATTTTTTTTTGTAATTTTGGATTAAAAATTTAAAAAATTACCCAGGCTAAGCACAGTCTAAGCGCCACTCTGGTACAAATGTTGTACCCAAGTGCGTTTAGACTGTTCATGTCATGTACTGGAGAACACTTTTCCAATTTTGTGAAAACTATTGAAAAATGTGAAAATGCCGCCAAGCTAAGCACAGTATAAGTGAAAATGTCGCATAGAATTGTTTGCGAATGCGTTTAGACTGTGACTATACCGGAGCACTTTTTCAATTTTGTGTAAATTAGACAACTATTTTTTTTCTGAATTTGAATTCGAAATGAAATGACGATTGTTAATGTTTTGGAGATAAATCGATTTTTGATTTATGATTTACATTTGATTTGCTCAGATATAACAAGATAGCAAAAATAAAAATAATGAAAGTTACAGAGTATTTGTAATAATATATTTGAAAATGTTTAAAATTTCTCGAATATTTCATTACGGTACGGGAAGTTCCAGCAATTTGCCTTAAAGCACGATGCCATACACCACTAGTTTTAACTTTGTTTTAGTACTTTATTTACAGGTTTACCTGAGTACGAGTGTCGTCCATAGGCGACATCCACGAGTTTTATCTGTGTACAAATGTCGCCTAAAGACGAAATCCAATTTGTAGACTTCTGCTTCGATGTTCATCACTGTAATTATAATATAAATCGTTGACAATTCTAATTTGCTATTATGATTTTTTAATTTTTATCAATATTGATTTATTTAGGAAAATCTTTAGTTAATTATTTTGTCTAGCAAATTCTTGAACAGTTCTCTGGCTCGTACAGCAGTGTCACTCCCACAACCAAAAATTAATATATTATTATTAATTAATGATTTATTAATATTTTTTTCTAGTCACCATGTCGGTCTGATGCAACACGTAAGAAACGCAGTTCACCACACGACTGGTCTGATCAGATCACATCATCAGCCTGTCCATCGAGACAGTGCTCATCCTGTAAAAGCAGCCAGAGATGGTTCAGCTCATTTGCACGCTGGTAGTGACCAACAGGTAATAAAATAATTAAGTTGTAAAATAAACCATAAACCTAGTTCTGTAAACAAACTGTACTGCGTTGGAATTAGTTTAAGATTAAGACGTGAACTTTAAAGTTATATAATGGAAATTTAGAGAAATTCCTGATTGTTTTTGTTATTCTAGTATTATCACACGGTTACGGCTGGTCGTAGAAGTGAATTAAATCGTTCTCCGATGACCAAAGTTATGGATTTGTTCAGACATCGGGCAAACAGTACTACGAGTGAGCAGGAGAAGCGGAAAAATGTGAGTGGATTTATATTTTATTTTATATATTTATATTACATTTAGTATTTCATATATGTATATTACATATATTATATTTAGTTTTCTGGACTATTTGGCAAATCTTATTAGATTGATTGCATTTTGACAAAGGCAGGTCTAGATGTTTCGGAGTTACAAAGCTAAATATGCAAAAAATGGCAGTTTTTTAGAGAAATAAGCATTCGATTTGAAAGATTCAAAGAACTTTCTGCTTGTATTGACGAGAAGACATTTTTTTAAATATTTTCTAAAATATTTAAATAATTATTTAAATAATTTGTAAAAAAAATATTTTTCACTAAATTTTATTCTTGAATATTTCATTATGATACGGGAAGTTCCAGCAATTTGCCTTAAGGAACGATGCCATACACCACTTAACCAGTCGATTATTTATTAGTATCGAAGATGTTCATGCAACTTGCCTCAAGGCAAAATTTCACTTATAACTAATTTAATATTATTAACTTCCCGTAGGGTAGTTATAGTAATCGTCCATAAATCGACACTGCATATTTTTGCTTATCTTTACGTTTTAAAGATTTCTGAACATTTTGGTATACCTTAGAAACAATGGATGTGTGTGAGTATGTGTATATATGCGGATACAATTTTTCGTTCACGTTTTCGGGCGCACGGATTAACCGATTTGAATAATTCGAAAAACATTCGATTGCTGTTGATAGGGAGATGTGCTGATTAGTTTTTGGCAAAGGCAGGTCCAGCCGTTAGGGAGATACGAAGCAAAGAGTGTAGATAATAGATATTGCGTTTTTGAGAGAACCGAGTATCCGATTTGAATGATCTAAAAAACATTCAATTAGTAATGACGGGGAATAGTGGTTATTAGTTTTTGGCAAAGGTAGGCCCAGCGGTTTCGGAGATACAGAGCTAAATGTTGAAAAAAATGGCAGTGTTTGAGAGAACTAAGCGTCTGATTTAAATGATTCAAAGAACTTTCTGCTTGTTTCAACAAAATAATTGCTTTTGGAAAAAAAAAATTGTTTCTAATTTTTTTTTTTCAAAAAATATTTTTGTAGTTTTGGATCAAAAATTCAAAAAATTACCCAGGCTAAGCACAGTCTAAGCGCCACTCTGGTACAAATGTTTGCCCAAGTGCGTTTAGACTGTTTATGTACTGGAGCACTTTTTCAATTTTGTGAGAACTATTGAAAAATGTGAAAAAGTCGCCAAGCTAAGCACAGTATAAGTGAAAATGTCTCACAGAATTAATTGCAAATGCGTTGACACTGTGACTAGAAGAGAGCACTTTTTCAATTTTGTGTAAATTAAATACAAAATTCAATTTTTTGTGTAATTTTAATTAAATTCGAAATGAAATGACGATTGTTAATGTTCTGAAGATAAATTGATTTATGATTTACATTTAATTTGCTTAGATATAACAATAAAATAGCAAAAAATAATGAAAGTTGCAGTTTTTGTAATAATATATTTGTAATATGTTTAAAATTTCTCGAATATTTTATTACGGTACGGGAAGTTCCAGCAATTTGCCTTAAGGCACGATGCCATACACCACTAGTTTTATTTTATTACTGTTTGTATCTTACAATGGTTTAAATAAATGCTAAATAATGGATGGCGCCACCAAAAACATTTTCATCACGGTGATTTTCTCGACTCTGCTTTTGATTTTAAACTTGATTAAAATTACTATTAAAATTTTAAAAAAACATAATATATTACTAATTTGAATCATAGGATCGATTAATAAATCTATTATATAAAGACAGTTTGTAGAAGAATTATTTGTACAATTATATAACGACGGAATTATAAATAAACGAAATAACGACCGAGTTGGTTCGTGGTTTCATAAAATATAGATTTAAATATGAATTATCTTAACCCACTTTTATGATGAGTTCGCTAAATATTTATTTAAACGTTTATTAAATATAATAATATTTCTATTTATGCACAATGTAAATATATGGAACAGAATAAATATTGATATCGCCTCACCATTGTTATTGAATGTTATATCAGGGACTGGCAACCAATATTCATATATTTTTTAAATTTAATTAAACTGATTAATTCTAATTTAATTTCTAGTTCAGTATTCGAATTCTTTTAAAAAAAAGACCTTTCAAATGATACCTCACACGCCATATAAGATACAGTCTAAAATTGTTGAAGTAACACTTCTTTAGACACAATTATAATATTAGAGACAAATTTAGATATATAAAAACTTTTTATAATCTAAATATATTCATTTTATAAAATTGCTAGCGAATGTTATGCTGGATAAACTAAAAAAAATTAGCAAAATAAAAAGTAATAATTGATCAGGACATTGAATACTTTTTTAGATTAATTTAACTTTCGCAAATAAACTTAGTAGTTATAGGCAAATTATAATGAATTGTATCAAGTTTTCAAACATCTAAAAATAAATATTTAAAAAAAAAATCTGTCGAAAGTTATTCCGGATAAAGTAAATAAATGCATCATGATAATATACAACAAATGATCAAAGCATAGAATATACGTTTTTTGAATTATTTAATAGTTAAAAATAAAATATTGTAATATTTGTTTACACAGACAAATTATAGAGCGTTTTATATTGATTTTAAATATACGTGGTCTGTTCAAAAAGTACCCGGAATTACTAATAATTAAATTTCGCGGGTCTGGAGTGTCTGATTGTCAATTTTTTTTTTTATTGTGTTGGTATACATGCCCCTAAAGTATGATGAAATTTTCAGCTATATTCACTGTTTACTTTGTCTGTGGTAGTCGCTAAGGTTCGACGTGTTTTTCTGAGCTCGGCGATTTTTACAATGGAAGAATTGAAAAGCCAAAGAATTTGTATTAAATTTTGCGTAAAAAATGAAATAAAGTGTTGCAAAGTGCAAAAATTCACCAGATATGGCTCCGTGTGACTTTTTCCTATTCCCAAAGTTGAAGAGACCCATGAAAGGACGGCGGTTTTCCTCGATTGAAGAAATAAAGGCCGAATCGCTGAGAGTGCTCAAGGACATATCAAAAAGTGAATATCAAGGGTGCTTCGAAAATTGGAAAAAACGCTGGCATAAGTGTATTATATCTGGGGGGGATTACTTTGAAGGGGACCACATTAATGTAGACGAATAAATAAATATTTTATATTTATATACGAAAATTCCGGGTACTTTTTGAACAGACCACGTATAAGTAATTTTTTTTAAACAAAATTTAAACACCACAAAACAAATAACTATTTGGAAACAAGAACTTGAAAATATCTACCCTGAACGAAAACAAAAATCATGAATAAACTTTACATTTTTTAGTATCATAACATTAGAGACAAATTTAGAGAATTTAATCTAGTTTTCAAATATTCCAAAATATTATTGCAAAAAATTGCTGTCAAAAGTTATACAGGATGGAGTGAAAAAATGCACTCTTAGTTATTAGTATAAATGGTACTCGATCAGGTTATAACCATCAATTTTAAAATTTATTTCAGTAGTTTATTATATTTTAATATTATAATAAAAGAGACAAATTTAGAGAATTTTATCTAGTTTTTAAATATTTAAAAATAATTACTTAAAAAAATACCTGCCAAAAGTTATACAGGATAGAGTGAAAAAATGCACTATTATTATAAATGGCACTCGATCAGGAAATAACCATCAGTTTTCGAATTTATTTCAGTACTTTAATTATTATATTTCAATATTATAATATTAGAGACAAATTTAGAGAATTTTATCTTGTTTTTAAATATTTAAAAATAATTATTCAAAAAGATTGCCAGCAAAAGTTATACAGGATGAAGTAAAAAAAAGCACAATGATAATATAAAATAATTCCTCAGGACATTGAATATTTTTTAGGAATTATTTAATAGTTAAAAATAAAATATTATAGTATTTTAATATATAGATAAATTGAAGATAATTTTATATAGTTGTTAAGAATATAAACAATTTTTTGTTAAAAAATTTGTTTTAAAACCAAAAAAACATGAAAACCACAGAACAAAAAAAAGAGTGCGCGTAAGGTTCACACGATTGAAGTAAAAGTGTTTTGCTATGTTACGAGATGGCACTACGTGTACGCATACAATTGAAGAACACTCTCACGCGACACGTCAACCAATCACAATCGAGGAATCATTGGCACTCGACTCAAGCGTAACGCTTTTCCGTTGCATTTGCACTATAAAAAATGTTTAGTTTTGTTGTTCTCATAGTATATTTTTTACAGCATGTATGTGATTTTGTTGAAAATATATTTTATGCGCGTATATTTTGTTCTCAGTTCATTTAGTCAACTTAATCAGGTTTATCTTTTCTGTATTATATGAATAAATCTTATCTAGAATTGAACTTCAGGGTAAATTTACGTGCTAAGGTTGTTGTCGATGATATGCAGAAAGAATTAAAATTGCCTTTCTTTTATTTATTATTCTATCTTTCCCTAGAATTGAACCTACGGGTACATTTACGTGCTACAAATGAGTTAGCGCACTCTATGGAACGGGATAAGAATGAAAATCCCCATCAATCTATTTCCCCCAGCTCCCGGTCTAAATCTTTCAATACTTGATACAAATATATATGTATCTATCACGTTTTTCTCCAATTACTACTATTAGTACCTAACTCATCACGAATGAGTCTTATCACATGGTGACATGTGAAAATGTCTTTGTATTCGTTTGACAAAATGTCACAAACATATAAATTATATATTTAAATATACATATAAATATATATTTATATCTTCATCTACTCCAGTCGTATTTTTTAGCTCGGACTGTGCGCGTTTATTAAAACTTACATAACTAAAATTTCAATTAAACATATGGACAAATTATTAAATTTATACAATTTTGTATATAAGTTATTTTTAAACTAAAATAGTTTTTTAAAAATTATAGTGTTTATTAATGTTAAAATTATGATGGTGTAATTTTTTATAGTGTTTATGTGTGTTTAATGTGTTGTTTG